TAGAACATCTGCTAATATTACGTGCTCTACAGGAGCAGTTGAATTGATAGATACAGAGAGAGGTGGCTAGTTTAGGCCATCTATCTTTTAACCACGGAGTGATCATTGGACGTGTGTATAACATTAATTGTAGTTCACCTGCATTAAAATTCAACTGCTCCTGTGAAGTAAGTTATATTGGTAGATGTTCTAGGAATTTGTATATTCGGGCTCTTGAGCACTTCTCAGTATGGTTAAGCAAAAGTGTAGTCAAAAGCCTCTGTATATACGCTTACAATTCAGAGGCGATGCACCTAGTGAAATGCTAAGACTGAAGTTAAGCTGATCAATCCAAGGAACTTTTAATGCAGGTAAACTGGAATTGATATCGTTCAAACAAATTTAACGGTATGTAACGCTTGAATGAATAACTTATCGGGTATTTTGAGCAGTGATAGATGGCTGTTAACAGTGGAATTTATGATACATGTTTTGTTCTATTAAGAACTCGGTAGCTGGATGTACCTGTATTTCAAAGTTGATTTTCACTTTCAGAATCGAATGCAATACCGTTCGCTTCAAATTTTACCACGTTATCCACTTAGCTATTGAGTCAGATCAGTCATTAGCTTGTGTAATGAATAGACTGATCAATTGCAGACCTAAACATCAATGAGAAGATTCAAACAACCAATAAAAGAAGATATACAGGATATTGATTGTTTCCACCGATGTCATCAGTTTTTCAATGAATAAACACCTAAAATCCCTCGAACAAATATACTAATCAATTTCGACTGTACTAAAATTAAGATTTTTATCTTAATTATTGTGTAGGACACCTGATCAAGATACCAAAGAAAGGCGATCTCAGCAAGTGTGATAATTACAGTAACATCACTCTTCTCTCAATACCAGGAAAAGTCTTCAACAGGGTATTGTCAAACACAATGAAGGACTACGTAGACGCCCAAATTCGACACCAACAGGATGGATTCCGTAAGGATCGATCGTGTACAGACCAAATCGCAACACTATGGATCATTATGGAATAATCAACTGAGTGGAATTCATCACTCTACATCAACTTCATTGACTACGAAAAGGCATTTGATAGCGTGGACAGAACAACACTATGGAAACTTCTTCGACACTACAGTGTGTCTCAGAAGGTAGTCAATGTCATACGGAGTTCGTGTATGGAGGACAGTTGACAGACACGTTCGAAGTAAAGACCAGTGTCATGCAAAGTCGCTTACTCTCACTCTTTTTCTTTCTCTCAGTGATCGACTGGATCATGAAGACATCAACATCTGAGGAGAAGCATGTGATATAGTGGACAGCTAGGATGAAGCTGCACGATCTAGACTTCGCAGATGATCCGGCTCTTCTATCGCACACACAACAACAAATGCAGGAGAAGACGATCAGTGTAGCAGCAGCCTCAGCAGCAGTTGGTCTCAACGTAAACAAAGGGAAAAGCAAGATTCTCTGATGCGACGCAACACGCACCAATCCAATCACACTTGACAGAGAAGATTAGGAAGATGCAAAAACCTTTACATAATTGGGCAGCATCATTGATGAACAGGGTGGATCTGATGCAGATGTGGAGGAGCGGATCGGCAAAGCAAGAGTAGTAAATTTACAACTGAGGAACATCTGGAACTCAAAACAACTGTCAACCAACACAAAGGTCAGGATTTTCAATACAAATGTCAAGATAGTTCTACTGTATGGAGCGGAAACTCGGTGAACTACGAAAGCCATCATCCAGAAAATACAAGTATTTATTAACAGTTGCCTACACAAAATACTTCGGATCCGTTGGCCGGACACTATCAGCAACAACCTACTGTGGGAGAGAACAAACCAGATTCCAGTGGAGGAAGAAATCAGGAAGAGGTGCTGGAAGTGGATAGGACACACAATGAGGAAAGCACCGAACTGCGTCACAAGGCAAGTCCTTTCTTGGGATTCAGAATGCCAAATGAGAATAGGGTGACTAAAGAACACATTACTTCGAGAAATGGGGTTAGACATGAGAAGAATGAACAAGAATTGTATAGAACTAGAAAGGAAGGCTGAGGACAGAATGCGTTGAATAATGTTGGTTGGTGGCCTATGCTACACTGAAAGTAACAAGCGTAAGTAAGTAAAATTAAGTAACTGTTGTATAACAAGAATGTTAGTCACATATTTGTCTAACCTTATTTTCCTTTAACGATATGAAAATGTGTAGATAATCATTAGTTAGATAAATTTGAACGTGACCTGTAATAACAAAATCAAAGCATAATAATTTCAAACTTTTTAAAATTTTAACTATATAAAACAATTAAACAAATGTGTATACACTAATAGTTGACAGATAGAATCAGATCACTAACATATTGAAGAAGATAAATGGCTTTTTTCTTTAGAACAGTGATGAATTACAAAGACGAGATTCCAGAAAGATGTTTGTTTCTTTTCTGAACGTATAAATGAATCAACGTTGATTATTCAGATCTCAAAATATTTTAGCTATAAATTTCTAATGCTTTCAAGGATATTATAAACGTGGAAGAGTAAACTGTACAAACATTTGATTTTCAATACTCAATTTACACATGAAAGGTTGAAATGATCATGACTATCGAAGTGATACTTGACCGTTCTTTAATATAAATCGTAAAAAAATGACGTCAAACTGAAGAGTCACCAAAAGCGGTGAGCCCGATGTGATTCTAACATCCAACATTCGGATGTGGAGTTAGATATATGGTCTCTAAAATATTTCTTGCACTAATGATTTGTATTCCTAAAAATCACATATAATATACGTGACCGACAAAAGGCAAAAGAAGAAAACAAAAGAGTTTGACTGGTTTAAGTTGACTTTTTCAGACTGAAACTACATTGACACAGTTTTCACAAGTAAATACGGATTGTCAGTTTATATCTATACGTAGCTATATGTAAGAAGTCAATTCAAAATTATGGTGAGAAGTAGTATTTATCGCTATATGTGTTTTCATTTCTTCTTGTTTCAATTAAGAAACTAATTTAAACCAGTTCATTTATGTACTGATTATTTGAATCTTTCGATCAATGTTTAGGACTACAATTGATCCGTCACTTATTGACATACGTATATCCTGTGTAGATTGCCTCGATATTACCTTAAGTGGTTAACTCAATAATGTTTGAAATCAACTATACTGACTTTGAGTCCTGAAGTGGATATCAACTCTGGAATACAGTTATATCCAGTTGATAAGTCTCAAGTAGAATGAAACATAAGTCCTGAATTCCACTGCTAACCATCATTCATTTCTGATTATAATTTAAACCAGATTTATATTATTACTTATTAGTAGTCCTTTGGTAATAAATCACTTATTTTTGTACAATATTATTATATTTAAAGATCGGATAGTCAAATTTTTTTAAACCACAACAACAAGAAAAACTGAAAGAAATATTTACATTGTTTATGCATGAACGAATTAAGGATAATACACATATATGTATCTATGCATATAACTATGAACCAAGTTCTCCACATAAAATATACATACTATATGAAGTATACTGATAATTTCTAATTGTACAAGGCATACACTATATAGAATAAGATGAATTATAAATATCATGATGTATGTATAGAAGTCAAATTACATAATTTAGTTAACTTAAACTCAACTTGTTGTTGTTCACATAATACACAATAATGTAATAAATCTTACTGATTACCATCATATTTGTCAGTACAAGTTATGTCTATAGAGATAAACATTTACAAGAATGCAATCTTTTCAATCATAATTTCATTGATTATTATTATTATTATGTAATTTGATAAATGATTAAACTAGAAATAAAAGAAAAACCCCGTTTACAATTGATTGATCACTAGGTGGTGATCAATGTCATATGTGTCAAGTCCTTATTTAGTGCAGACTGTGAAGCTGGGTGACACGGGATCGAATCCGTCAGGGAGCACTAGTTCCCTCAAGATTACAGGTACACCTTGCTGACGAGTGCCAACCCGGGTCCAGGGTTTCCTTTCGACTACCTTCAATCATCATCGAATCTCAAAAACCCCGTTTCTATGGTGGAATAATTACAAATAACTAATTCGCATATGTAAACTAGAATGATGAATAAATCTTTTTTTTAAACAAGAAATAAAGACATGATTTCATTTTAGCGTTATAGTAAATTACCTTATTGATTATTTGTAAAATATTAAGAATTGAATTCGATCAATCAAATTGACGGCATATATGATGGAGAAGATTTATAGTTCAGGTGGATGATTTTGAACTTAAGGTAGGCGTTTGTGTTGATAATGTCGTTCAGAAGAATGATGAAAGCTTCACGACTAAACCATCCAGCTCAGAGAACAAAACTCTATCAAAATGATGTAATATAATAATCCTTTGAATGAATAACATAATAGAGATTATAGCTTAAGATTTACTATGTTTATGAATATCATGAGGTAAGCGTTAACTTGAAATCTTGAAGGGAGATAAAAAAAGAGGAAAGTCAAAGAACACATTGCGTTGAGAATTGAAAACAGACATGAGAAAGTTGTATAGCAATTTGAAACAACTGGAAAGGATTGTTCAGGACAGAGTTGGATGGAGAAGGCTGATGAGCGGCCTGTGTTCCTCCGTAAGGGGTACAGGCGTAAATGAAATGAAAAATGAATGTTTATGAATAGGTGCTAACGATAAAATAAATAATTAAGGATAGTGTTTATTGGGAAACATTCTAGTTTGCTGAACTTACGTATCAATGTTAAGCTTTACATTAGTTATATATTTGTGTACATAGATATATTTACCGATAATCACAAAGGGTTTGTAATTGTTTAACTAGGATAGATAATTAATATTACTCGTTTGTTGGGAATGGATATCAGTAGCTGTATAATTGGAATTGTTCGACTTAAATGTTTCTATGCCATGAAATATGAGCTTTAAATTTTAACGAATTATTTTAGGAAGAATTCTAATGGACTCTGCTAGTCACGTCATACTACATATTATGATCGCCACAAGACATACAGAAATAAGTAAAGTCAAAGAAATGCTTCTTACCCTTCTTTTGTACAGTTGAGGAAGCAGCGTGATGACTGATGAGCGACGACGACGACGACGTCGACGATGATGATGATGATGATGATGATGATGATGATGATGATGATGATGATGATGATGATGATGATGATGATGATGATGATGATGATGATGATGATGATGATGATGATGATGATGATGATGATGATGATGATGATGATGATGATGATGATGATGATGATGATGATGATGATGATGATGATGATGATGATGATGATGATGATGATGATGATGATGATGATGATGATGATGATGATGATGATGATGATGATGATGATGATGATGATGATGATGATGATGATGATGATGATGATGATGATGATGATGATGATGATGATGATGATGATGATGATGATGATGATGATGATGATGATGATGATGATGATGATGATGATGATGATGATGATGATGATGATGATGATGATGATGATGATGATGATGATGATGATGATGATGATGATGATGATGATGAGATGATGATGATGATGATGATGATGATGATGATGATGATGATGATGATGATGATGATGATGATGATGATGATGATGATGATGATGATGATGATGATGATGATGATGATGATGATGATGATGATGATGATGATGATGATGATGATGATGATGATGATGATGATGATGATGATGATGATGATGATGATGATGATGATGATGATGATGATGATGATGATGATGATGATGATGATGATGATGATGATGATGATGATGATGATGATGATGATGATGATGATGATGATGATGATGATGATGATGATGATGATGATGATGATGATGATGATGATGATGATGATGATGATGATGATGATGATGATGATGATGATGATGATGATGATGATGATGATGATGATGATGATGATGATGATGATGATGATGATGATGATGATGATGATGATGATGATGATGATGATGATGATGATGATGATGATGATGATGATGATGATGATGATGATGATGATGATGATGATGATGATGATGATGATGATGATGATGATGATGATGATGATGATGATGATGATGATGATGATGATGATGATGATGATGATGATGATGATGATGATGATGATGATGATGATGATGATGATGATGATGATGATGATGATGATGATGATGATGATGATGATGATGATGATGATGATGATGATGATGATGATGATGATGATGATGATGATGATGATGATGATGATGATGATGATGATGATGATGATGATGATGATGATGATGATGATGATGATGATGATGATGATGATGATGATGATGATGATGATGATGATGATGATGATGATGATGATGATGATGATGATGATGATGATGATGATGATGATGATGATGATGATGATGATGATGATGATGATGATGATGATGATGATGATGATGATGATGATGATGATGATGATGATGATGATGATGATGATGATGATGATGATGATGATGATGATGATGATGATGATGATGATGATGATGATGATGATGATGATGATGATGATGATGATGATGATGATGATGATGATGATGATGATGATGATGATGATGATGATGATGATGATGATGATGATGATGATGATGATGATGATGATGATGATGATGATGATGATGATGATGATGATGATGATGATGATGATGATGATGATGATGATGATGATGATGATGATGATGATGATGATGATGATGATGATGATGATGATGATGATGATGATGATGATGATGATGATGATGATGATGATGATGATGATGATGATGATGATGATGATGATGATGATGATGATGATGATGATGATGATGATGATGATGATGATGATGATGATGATGATGATGATGATGATGATGATGATGATGATGATGATGATGATGATGATGATGATGATGATGATGATGATGATGATGATGATGATGATGATGATGATGATGATGATGATGATGATGATGATGATGATGATGATGATGATGATGATGATGATGATGATGATGATGATGATGATGATGATGATGATGATGATGATGATGATGATGATGATGATGATGATGATGATGATGATGATGATGATGATGATGATGATGATGATGATGATGATGATGATGATGATGATGATGATGATGATGATGATGATGATGATGATGATGATGATGATGATGATGATGATGATGATGATGATGATGATGATGATGATGATGATGATGATGATGATGATGATGATGATGATGATGATGATGATGATGATGATGATGATGATGATGATGATGATGATGATGATGATGATGATGATGATGATGATGATGATGATGATGATGATGATGATGATGATGATGATATAACTAATAATGAATATTTGCTTACAGTTTGAAAAGATAAAACGTAGAAAGACCCATGCATCAACTATTTTTAACTCAGTATGAGGTTGTAGAGACTGCTAAATTTTTGATTGAGATCATGAATTGATCACTGTTAGACCATCACTGATAACTTGGAAGAGCTGGACGGCCGTTTCGTCCTAGTGCGGGACTTCTCAGCAACGAGTTAATTTATCGACGTTTAATTATTCCATTGCTTTGATAAAAGTGGGCAGCTGACTGCCAAACTTATGTTATCAGATGCTAACATTTAACTGTGAACGATATTTTCAAGATGAATGTTTTTACTGTATAACAATTAAAGTATTAATATCTTAATAAACCGATAGTCAGAATGTCATAATTAGTAGCTTTGTATGACGCTGGTAAAATATCACAAATAGAAGGTATAAATGTGAGACAATGAAAAATATTTCTGCATTCTAAGTGTAATTATTTGTAATAAGAGGCTTGGATGTCTCAAGTGCTGAACTTGATGAGATCATGAATACATAAATGAAAACATTTACGGCAGCGATAAGAACGTTCTATGCGACAAAAGAGAAAATAACGTTCACTATTAGGAACATATTTTCTATGTCCATGAATGATAAGCTTCGCCGTCTTGTCGCCTCCATGTGCATCTACCAGTTCACCTGCTCTCACGGAGCAAGGTACATTGGCCGTAGCCAGAGTTTTCTTTCAACTCGGTTACGGGAACATGTCCCTGTGTGGTCCTACAAGGGTAATAGTAAAGCAATTAGAAGTTCCATCTTTGAAAATCTAATCGATCCTAATCATATTACTGATCCAGAGGTTGAATTTAAGGTTGTGTGTATGATTCGTTCAAGCCCACTTAGATTTCTTCATGTCAAATTCCTTAGAATAGCAGAAGCTCTCAATATCCATGATCCTAAGCCAGAAATTTGCGTACAAGAGAAGTATGTTCTATCATTATCGTTACCTTAGCCTCAATCTATTATCATTATTCCTATTGCATTCTCCGTTTACCTGTCTTATATCCTCATGAATTTATTCATAATTGTTCACGATATTACTTCATTTACTTTTTACACCTCTATTACCTTTAATGACCTTTATTTATTGTAAAAAAATATTTTAATCATCTTACTACATTCACAATATAATTCGCTACTAAGTCTATTGTTATTAATCGCATTGCATAATCTAGTATTATAAGCTTTCGATTGCATTATCATGGTTATTTCATGCTCATATATCCTCACGGAACTAGTACTTTAACACAAAAAAAATTGTTTCCATATATATGCGATTGTACAGATTAATAATAAACTCGTTGAAAACAGATCCCTTCGTTGAACTTCATGTTTCTACTGTTTATTACTTTTCCAATGAAAATCAATCCTCAATGCTAACTGTTTCTGCAAAACACATACTTCTGTAATCTAAAATAATTTCATTAGAAATAAATACAATGGTTGTTATAAAGGAAACTGCTTACAGACAATGATCGACAACGGAAGTCCTATATTTATTCAAACTATGAAAGAAAAGATGAAGTAAACAGATAACTCGGCTAGTCAGTTTCATATGTTATACACAGTTTTTTTATGTTGACGATATTGGTCAATTTTGTTCACCAACAAGATCTATTCAGTTTAATTTATTACAAATTCTTTGTTTATTCAACCTTTAGAACTGGATATATATCCCGCATACCGTGGGATCGTGGATGCTGCTGAGGAGTCCCATACTAGGACGAAACGGCCGTCCAGTGCTTCCAGGTTTGCCGTGTTGGTCCAGCTTCAATTGACTCATGATATCAATCATTAAAAATTATTAATATTTTATTGCACAGTATTATGTCACTTGGTTATGTTTTGAATAAATGATACTTGGATATAACCTGTACCTACCCAGTTCGATAAACGAAATTCAATAATAAGAAATTAGTAATGATGGTTGTGGTTAAGACATTTGTATATTGAAATAATACAATGATAGTATTCTGTTAGTTTGGATAATTTGTAATTACATTCAAACAGCACTACGGTTATTTCCCATGGTTATCTATTACAAACTTAGACATATATATATCTGTGAAAAATTGATAAATTCTTTCTGCTATATATGTGTGATGTCCTTTATGGAAATACTAGGCATAAACCCAAATTATTTGACTAAAATGTTTACATATTTTATTTTATTATTCATGTGATAAACTAGGGAACGACAGTTTAAGATGTTTAATACCTTCACAATTTAATTAGTGTTTGTTAAAACTTGTAAACTGTGAATGATTAGCAACCATGTAAATTATCACTTTTCTTGTTGCTATGAATTTGTTTTTCTTCTCTTTTTTCTTTCAGAATTATTTTGTGTACTATCTATGACATTTCCAATATTATCCTGACAAGTGTCATACGTGCTTAACTATGTAGGATTTATGTACATAATTGTCTAGTTCTATGTCAGACATCATTGTATTGTTGTACTTGCAGTCGTCATAAGTTTAACTTTCTTACTAAGATATAGTGCAATGATTTATTATCTAACATTATTCAAGACTCCTTTTTTGATACAACAATGTCAGGTTTTATGAGATGGAAAGCACAATATTTCAGGTAATGATTATCACAATGTGTGATTAATAGTATTTGTAAATTAACATACTTTTTTTATCAGTAAGAGCATATTTGGAGATGGTCTACTTTAATTAGAATTCTTGATGTTTAAGTGAAAAGTCATAACTTCAGTTTAACGTCTTTTGAAGTTGAAACGGTTGTATATATGTTAAGCACCACCTAACTCGATGCGCAACGTTATTTCGAATAGGAGTAGACTGAAAGGTTATATAGGACTGAATCAAAATATTATAATTGTCCATGAAATAACTACCTGTTGAAGTGAGACGCATTGGCAGGTGGAGACTAAATGAATGTTCCTGGTATGATAAAAAAGACCAGTTGTTAGGGATATTAGATGACTATTCAGAATTCAATATGAGATCTTGAGTCTCAGTTTTCCATTGTATATGCCTTCTTTTCAGATCCTAATTTAAAATGTTTCATCTTGTTTATATTGTGCTAATCTAATAGTTACTTTGATTCCTCGCTGTTCATCTTATATTTACAATCCATCGTATTGATATTGCATAAACATATTAAATGGCACTTATTTGTGCCAGTTAGTAATGTTATTTGTAACTAAATAAGCTTGACTATTATCACCAGTGGTGGTCGTAGCCTGTAAATAATTAGACAGAAACTTACAAGTATATATGTATCCTGTTCACTGACAAATTAAATTACTTTTCATTTGTTCTTACTTGTGATGATAAATATACGGCGTTGTAAATTCCTAGACCAAGCTTAAATACTTAATAAATGCATCGTGAACTGCATCAAATAATTACAGTTTATTACAAAAACTATATTCAAATTCAACAACCTCTTATCACCAATCAATCTATTAAACATTACATTCTTGATTTACATAAGATCCAGTTTCATCAAATCAGAACAATTGGTAAGTAGACACTAAACAATGTGGTAAGAATTTGTCAAGGTTATTATCCGATATTAGTTCATGTTACCTTTTAGAAAAGTTTATAATGTATTCAAAGATGTATGATAACCAGCACAGGAATCCATGATGTATATTATGTCCTATTTTGAGACTGTTATATCTTCAATGTTGATTTCTTGATGTGCCGTGGATAACAGAGCACCAGAATACCAAAACCCTTACAAGTCACAATAAGAAGACAGAAGACTAATGAAAGGAATATTATTACAAACAGTGTCAATTATAGTACAAAATTGTCAGGTATTCATAGTTTTTAGTAAGAACGAAATCATCATTACAGTCCTCCAATCCGCATACAGGGGCTTTTAGCATTGTCCGATCGGGAAGCTACATGCAGGAATTCTAGAATATTATCCCGAAAGGTGATTGGACGGAACATCGTCGGCTCCTTCTGAGCCTCTTACAGCTTCCTCGCGTTCACCCGTGGTCCGTTGTCACAGAGATTCATTAACCTGGATGTACCAGCACCCCACAATTGATATTTACTTTAGGAATTTAACCCAGTGCCGTTAATTTAAAAAGCTATCACATTATCCACTTAGTAACTGAGTCCAGCTAGTCACTAGCTTGTGGAATGAGTAAACGGATCAGTTGCACTTAGTAACAAGTTTTATTTAGATATTTGATATAATTCTACTTTTATAAACTTCAGTAGAGTTTTGTTTTTATATTGAAAAACTATTATTCTCCTTTTAATAAACATCAAATCATTTTTAATTATTCAATTTTGATATTAATCAGATAATAACTTTACTAAATGGGTTTTTAATGATAACCCCGATAAGTCAATTAGTTTAATGATCATTTATTACTGTTTTCTATTAAAATAAAGTTTTATCATTAATGTAGTTATATTTTTGTTATGATTTGAACTTCATTTAATGTTAAGATCTGATCAGTAAAGAGCGAATGATTCTATTTTTTTCAACACTAATAATAAGCATCCATAATTATTCAGGGTGTGATGTGAGCTATTTATATTCACATAAGTAGTATATAACGATGGTTAGGAATAGTATATATATTTCAGTAGAAGATCAAGAAGGAAAGAACGAGAACGGAAAGCAATTGATATGAAAATGTAGGAACAATGAAATTTGAGACGATGGATTGATATTTGCAAAAAGAACAGTCAAATTTGAGACAATGGATTGATATTTTGCAAATCAACTATTTATCGTATCAGAAGGGGTTTTGTGGAGATTGTAGTAATTTCAACAGTTGTGATCATGAGTCAGTTGAAGCTAGACCACCATGGAAAACCTGGAAGCACTGGACGGCCGTTTTTTTCTGTTGTGGGATCCCTCAGGAGTGTGCAATCACTGTATGGTTGTCAGATTTTAGTGAGATATTCTGTAATTTAGTGTTCAGGTACATTCGATTATCTCCACTCGTGTTGTTGTTCATTACAAAGGATTTTTGAATGCTTACCTTGTGTATATCTATCTATCTATCGAAATGTTGATGTCATTT